TTTTTTTTTTTTTTTTTGTGCACTCTGTTCTATGTAACAGCTGCATAAAACGCATATTGTCGCACCTCTGTTTGTGTGGTTTTAAATGTGTGTGTGTATGTATGTATGTACGTACATATGTATACGTGTCCGAATGCGTTTTTTTGCGTATGTTTAACGGAGGGACCACAAAAGCTAGGGCGCTGAAAAACTTAGCAGCTTAGAGACCATACAATAGGTCGAGTACTTTTGTACAAACAGAAGTGTAAAACAGTGGAAATTCTTAGCAGCAAACGTCCGCTGGATGGGACTGCGCAAAATGCATGGTCACACTGCTTACTTTGGTGAGCATCGTTGTTAATTGATAAAATTCCTTTGACAAAAATCAGGATCGCTTTTTAACTCCGTCAATTTCGAAACACTGTAATAATTTTTTCTTTAGAAACCATCAAAACCTGCTTTCCTACGAGTAATTGCTTTTTTTGCTACCACTTAGTTTATTTTTGAGCCTTAATAGCATCAACGAAGTTCATTGGAGAATGAGCAAAGGCATCATCAGGCAAATTGCTCTAGATTCACATTCATCTGAACGTTTTGTAACTATTTTGTTGAAATGTCATATCTCCATTCCTTAGTTCTACAGAGCCAGTGTTAATTACGCTTTTCGTGCAAAAATCGGCATACATTCCAGATCTATTTGCATGTGACACGACCAATTTTGAATATTTTATCGCTGGTAATCGATGAGTGTGATCTTAGTTCAATTGATGGTTAGTTTTTCAGGATTGAAAGTTTTCTTGAGACAATTAAAGTTAAGGAAAGTGAAAAGAGAGACTGAATCGTAAAATTCTGTAAAGACTGAATCGATTTTCGTTCTTGATCTGAAATTTAAGAAAATTAACCTAAAGTGAAGGAGAATGAAGGAGTTGCCGACTGCAAAAGAAAAACGACGATAAAGCAGTAATTGACCAAAGTAAAGGAATTGTTAGGATTATTTGCAACACTTGGGCTGGTTATTAGTCCATAGCATCGTACTTCATCTGTTCAGCTAACAGCTTTCCCAGTTATTTTGACTGATGCTGCCATTACCTAGTGATCTGTTTGCGGGCGAACTTACTTCGTTTTGTTTCCTGAAGGAAACATCTACTCAACTGGTCAGAAGCATTTGAGAAGGCTTCAATTTTTTCGAAATATGTAGTGGGCATCGATAGTTTTTCTCAGACATTCCTACTTTTGGTTCACACTGAGTTATTTTATCAACCGGCAGCCTTTCATATTTCTATGAAATAATGCCAAAAAATGGATAATTTCACCGAATTGGAATCTAGTTGGAAAATAAAAACAAGCTCCAAAGTAGTTTTCTGAAGCGTTTTTTTTAAGAAAATTGTTTCAGTTCGCAATTCTGGCAACAAATTCAACAGTCTTTTTGGCAAATCTTCAGTGAAGCAACTCTATGAAGCATTTGCTGTGGGAGCTGATGCAGTACAAAATACCGGGGTCGCTGTTAGTGATGATGACGATGATAACGATGGTGGTGGTGGTGAAAAGAAGGCAGACAGCGATAGTGATTCATTGCCTCCAACACCGCCTCCTGTAGGAATTTTGATAAATGCAAGCGAGGAAAGAGAGGTAGAGAGAATTTATGAAGTTCGTCAATCGCCTAGCAAGAAGCGAAAATTGAAGTTTTGAAAAGAAAGCTTTCTGCGCAGTTCACTATGCAAAGATTTTTCGACTGTAAAACTATTAGGTCGGAAGATCGTCTGCAGGTTGGATTAGTGTGCGTGCGCATATGTATGAGTGTGTAAATATAAAAACACCTAATTATAGACACTCATATATTTATTTAAAATTCTACACACAAACTAAGGTTACAGCCCATTGGAAATAGAGGTAATAATGAAAAATGAGATGGTGAAGTTGTGGGAGCTCCGGCTGCCCAGAACAGGGTTGGGTAGTAAAGGGACAACTCTCGATGCTTTTATACCCCGATGGTTACAGGTCACGAAGACTGCAATACTCTGTTGGGAGTAGAGTATCCAAAGACCGAACCGGAGACCAGGGGTTTTGCATCATAGTGATGCAATTACTCCTTAGTTTAAAAAAAAATTCATAAATCATTATCTGAAACATTATGTGACACAGCACCGAAACTGCATGTGCGGGACCGGGAGTTGCACTGCGGCCCGTAAGAAACACGTTGGGCACGAGTTGCGGAAGCTCGCGAGGGGGCGAGTGCAACCGAGCGCTGTATGGGAGTGGTACCCCATTCGATGCGGAGTAGAATTTCGACTGTATTTGTAATTTGTTGGTAAAGTTGTGTTGGTTCGCCCAGAGTCTCCAAAAGACGTAGCCAGTGTCGGCGTCGTCCAGCTTCGTCTGTCTTCACGCCAAAATCATCGTCATTCAAGCTACGTGTGA